CACTAGTGAAGAGAATGGTGGTAAGTGCCCCATTTCCTCAAAGGTTTCCAAAAGTCTGATCCAGATGTCCATTTGGGTAGTACTCCCTCAATCATTGGCCTCATCCTCCTTTGCCTAATTGTCTGTGGTACTCAGTGACACTTCCTGGGTCCACTGGTAAATAAGAACTCAGAGTGGGGACAGGTTAACCAAAAACACCCACCTAAAAGCTTATCTTTGAAAGAACCCAGGAGGTGAGGAAAAACTGTCTTTCATGGTCGGCAAATAAATTATTTACTACTGCTAGTCACATGCTCTCACTGGAAAAATACAAGCGCTTACATCAATCAGTACCTGAATTCTGCCTGGACCCCGCCTGCCTCCTGAGCTGCCCTAGCTCTTCTTCTTAGGCCTCCTGAATGTTTTCTCTGTGCTTCTGAGTGGAAATGAAACACCACGCCCTGTGACCTCTATGGCCGTTCTCAGAACACACACATTGTTTCCAGGGCTATTTAGAAACAGTCCTGTCACGTTCAATAGTTGGTCTGTAAAGCATCTAGAGACACAGACTTTCAAAATGTCAGTAGATTTAAACAGTCTGAAGTGTCTGCTAAATCTAGCCAATAGGTTAATAGTCCTTGTTTATACAGCTGTGGCTTGATAGGATCCTGCAGCACCAGTGACATGTCACATAAATCATTTACCGAGGGGCACTTGCCGCCAATTCATGAAGCAATTGGGTGCTTTCAATAAATGAGAGCGCCAAGGATTCCTTGAAATCTCAAGGTGTTTACAAAGGAATTAAGACTCCTCTTTCTGCATAAAACAATGTAAACCTTTTGAATACTCCCAGAAATGTTCTCTATCTACCCTCATGCTTAAAGAGCCTTTGCTCCTTTTTACTTGGGTTTTGTTTCTCAGTCTACTGTATGTTTTTCTTCTCAGGTTCTTGCTTTTATGCTACTTGGCATTTAGAGATGTTAGACTCTTTAGACATGACGATGGATTTCTCATTCCCCACTAGATCATAATAAAGCTTCAGAACAGCTCTAAGTCACAAATGAGCAAGTGGGCCCTTGGTACCTCTCCTTGGAGTCTGTCTCTGCATTTAACCATCCATAGAGCAAAGTTACTGCTGCTGTTGAAGTGCATCAGTTAAGCCAGATGTGATGGTATTTACCTGTCGTCAAAGCACTCTGGAGGCATTGGTAGACTTGGTAGAATCCAAGTCCTAGGCTATCCTTGATTTACACAGTGAGTCCCAGGTCATGGTGTCTGAGGCCAGTTACATAGCAAGACCCCATCTTAAAAACCACAAAAGCCAAACATACACACTTTTTGTGACATTATTGCCAAGGCAGAATACTTTGCAGTCATACTATATGCAACTATTTACATGGCACGTATAAAGCAATCTAGAAATCATTTAAAGTGTTCAGGAAGGCCTCTTTCAGTTACATACAAACACTGTGCCATTTTATCTAATGGACTTGAACAGCTCAGATTTTGGTATCCTGGGTTCTGATAAAACTGAAACCAATCTCTCATGGGGGTACCATATAAAAAAGGTATTCAACTCTGTTGAGTTCCGATATGATGAAAACGTTGGTGATTTGGTGTTTATGAAAGCATCAGATATATTTTTTAAATATTTTCATGTTTTCTGGTATCTTAAGCATGGGCCACGTTTGCCTTTTCACTAATCTCAGCAGTGACGCATCTGTGACTACAGATCATTCACAATATAGAAATTATGCACAAAAGGAAAAGCTAGCGGAGTCACAGGTATGTATTAAGCTACCTCCCAAATCGATGCCTGATAAGATTAGAAAAAAACTGGACTCTCAATGTAGCATTTAGACAGGGGTAGAACCAATCATACTTGGCAGAAGGAAGCCCGGTGAGGTTATTAGTTACTGTGATCAAAACAAGGTGCTACCGGCGAACACCAAGTTAATCTACACAGCAACAACCAGTAATTTCCCTCCTGGAATCACACTGCCCTTAAAGGGGCTGGCAATACAGCCAATTTATCCAGTTTATCAGCACTCGTGTTAGAGGTGTTTGCAGTGAACCTCAATATGTCTGGATATCTTGAATGGCAACATTTCCCAAGAACCACATTGACTAAGACAAAGCTCCAAGTCCTGGGGGGGCATCCAACTCAAACCAGCCAAAGGAGGAAAGTGTGCCCATGTAACTGGGAAACCCAGAATCTTTGGAAACATCAAGAAAACTTCAGACGAAGCTTGTTCCAGTGACTCTCATGATACCAGACAGTAATGTTCCTCTTTTAATTCATCTCTAATCTCTGGATATTAGAGTTCTGAATCATTCCACAGAATGTGTCTCTTCTTCCACTACCAGGAATTCTTAGGGCATGGTTAATAACATGCCTTCTAAGGGGGAGACATGAACAACATCTACTTGTCTGCCTAAGGACCCAACAAGAAACAGAGGTAGAACTCCACCAAAATTCTTTCTAGGGCAGTCAGTGGTTCTCAACCTGTGAGTCACAACACCTTTGAGAACCCTCTTTCTTCAAATATCTTCATATTAAAATTCATAACAGTAAAAAATCAGTTATGAAGTAGCAATGAAAATAATTTTATGTTTGTGGGTCACCACAACATGAGGAAGGTTGAGGACCACTGCTCAGGGAACCAATGAGTCTATTAGACCTCCTTACAGAGCATAGGTGGGGGCTACCTACAGGGAAAAGCCCACACCTACAAAGCCTTTACCCAGCAGGGATGAGGGCTTCCCCATAGCCACATACACAGAGCACTCCTCCTGCAGTCTTCCCCAGCTTATACTCCAGCCTCTCCCTGGCCTGTGCGATTAAGGCAGAGTTTCATACAACAGGTGATAGGGTGTGGCTGCACATTTGGGTGAGAAGGCCATGCCAACCCACAGTCCACAAGCTCACCTACAGTGACCATTTACAAGCAAGCACAGCTGAACACCTCAAGATGGCTGTTGTTTGGCTCAGTGGATGTAAAATTCCACCTCTTCCTCAGACTCATATTCTTTCCATCACCACCCCCCTCTTCCTTCTGCCTTCATAAGCCTTCTGCCCTCATAAGCCTTGGAGTGGGTAACAATCTGATTGTTCTCCTTCAAAAGATATACTGAACTCTTGTGTTCTTTTATTATAACTCTGTCTCTGGAACTTGACTACTGGCAAGTCTTAGAGGCATTTCTCCTACTCAAAACATGACGAGGAGACAGATAAAAAACAGAAAATGGCAAAAATGGGCATGGACTGCAGTATGAACCTTGGACTGCAAACACCAATGTGGGGAAGCATATTAGCTGGTACATCAATCGGGCAGTCAATAGCAGCTGCTTCTCCATTGGAGCCTCTGATTTCTGTAACCACAGGTGTTTGTCTAAATTCCCCACACCAGATATGACTTTGCCCTTCAGAGTTGGCCTTAAGGCAAATCAGAAGGGTGGTTCTGCCCACAATTACTTGAGCCACGATTGCACTGACTGGCACATTTTACTTGGTACCTTCATTGTGAAGCATGCAGGATTCGAAGGTAGGTAGGATTTTTGGGCTTACCTCTTCCCTAGAAACCTTAGTGGCCATTTCTGGCACTAAAGGAGCTATCACACAGGAAAGGGACACGTTGGGCCAGATTCTAGCTTTGTTTCTCCAAGACTAGCAGTCAAATCATACAACCTCTTCAGCAATAGGGTCCTACCATTAATTCTGGGATACAACCAACAACTGTGTTTCCAGCCCTAAGTCTAGTGTAGAAATGCCCACACGCATCCAACCTGGGAATGAGAAAGGCCGACTTCTGGAGAGACGCCAGGCACGCAAGGGCAGTCGGCTGTGGTGCCTTATCCTTCATATGCATCAGACGCTAACGGAAGGCAGGTCCCATGCATCAGACGCTAATGGAAGGCAGGTCCCATTCTGTGCATTTAATGCTCAAAGCAGCTGCAGAGGTCCTCCTCGCTAACGGACACCCTTCCCACTGTTGACTGGGGATTGACTCTGGCTTCCTCCCAATGAAGGCCATCCCACGGTGGTGTGTGGACTGAAGACAAGGAAACTACAAAAGGGCAGGACTCTCACACAGGTTTTCAATGAGTCTTCATGGACACCCACCTATGCTGGAAAGGATTGTAACTTCAGACATAAAGCTCTGACTCGGTCTAAATCTAGATACTCAACAACCCACAACAGTTTGGATGACAGCATTATGGCTGGTCCTACATACAGGAAATAGGAAGCTGTTTCTACAATATTTGGACAACTCTCACAAACCCTTCCAAGTCTCTTCATTTCCCCCTAGTCGATCAACCAAAGTCTGTGTGGTAGAGTATCATTAAAAACAAAACAATAATGACGACGAACACTAGGCCAAAGTAGAGTGAGGTCAGAATGGGTTCTGGTCACAGTTCTGTCATTGAAATGATGTGTTATTTGAAACAGATCTTTGTCCCTGAATATCACTTGCTTTACCAATAAGGTCACCTCTTCAAGCTCTGTCATTCTGTAACTCATGAATTACTCAGTTCTCCAAGAGTAGTGACCCCCACCTTGGCTGCATCTTAGAACCAAACCTGACTCCTAAGCCACAACCCCAACACGTTACACAGGAATTGTGGTGTCAGACTTCAAATATCCATGAATGTTTTAAATTTCACTGAGAAAATCCAGGCAGGGTGAGAACCACTGTTCTATCTTATTCCACAGCTGTCTAGGAGAGAAAACTGAATGGGATCCCAGAAGAACCCTGGCAAAGGACAGACACCTCTCAGAGCCCCCAACTGCACTTAGGGTGGCCCTACAGCTCAGAGAGTCTGCCACAGTACCACGCTTACCCTGTTAGAACCACCTGCTGCTCAGCATTCTGCAGAGAAAGCTTCCAGAATTAGGTCATTATCATTTTGTTCTTAAACCAAATGATTTACCTGAAGCCATTTCAGCCAAAGGATACCTTTCACTTTTAAGAGAATGAAAACCTCAGTATCTATTACATCTTGCATAATGAACTCAGAAATGAGAGGCACCCAAGTGATAGTTTAATCATTTCCATCCTCTTATATAATAACACAGATTTTCGCTCAATTACATGAATCATCAAATTTTCTGTAACACTGAATGCACTGGAAAGCTGGGGGAAATATATCCTCAGAAATTAGCTGTTTTTGAAAGGGAAAAAAAAGTCAAAATCGGTTGCGCTCTCTGTGGTTCAATAATTAACCAGCAGTTTTGTCACTTTCAATGATAGGTTGGTCTGTTTCATTGAACCATTTCTGCTGATGGGGGGTGCGTGCCATACAATTCCATGATTCACACCCATACCTCCTGCCACCTAAATCACATGTTCTGTGCAAGCCTGCCTCCTACATAACAAGGCTTTCTTTTCACCTTTGTTATTTGTTCCTTCATGCCTTGGCTGGTGAGCCCTTTGAAAGTGGCAAGACAGAAATAGCCTGGGTAGAAGGTTCAGGAAGTTACCTTGTCTTCTTAAAGCTCCATTCAGTTCCCAGCTGCTAAAAATGTATCTGACAGAATTCAAAAGGGTGACATAAATGAAGTCAACAAAAAATTGAAACTTCATTTCCCCTTTCACCTTAGTATTTAAGCAAGGAAATATTGTGGTGAAATAAAAACAAAAGCCTCTTGAAGAACCAAAGTAAGAATAATTAAAACTGTTTTTCTTTTCAGAAAGATTCAAACTCATGAGCTAGATTTTTCCTCTCTCTGCAGGATGGTCCTTGAGTACAAAGAGGTCCTGTGCCTATTTTTTATGTCATCAAATCTAGCATTCCCTACACATTGCTGAAGACTGGATCCCTCGGGTGATGCTTAAAACCTGTGTCTTTTGCAAAGCCCTTTTGCCTGCTTAGTTTTTTTTGTTGTTGTTGTGGTTTTTGTTGTGTTTTTTTTCTTGTCATCTTGATACAAGTTAGAGACATCTGAGATGAGGACTCTCAAATAGGGGGAAAATGCTTCCATCATACTGGCCTTTAGAGCATTTTCTTGATTAATGATGGATGTGAGAGGACCCAGCCCACTGTGGGTGGTGCCACACCTGGGCAGGTGATCCTGGGTTGTACCAGAAAGGTGGCTAAGCAGGCATGAGGGGCAAACCAGTCAGCAGTGCTCCTCCGTGAATTTTGCTTCGTTTCCTATCTGTAGGCTCTTCCCTTGAATACCCTGTCTTCCCCGCCTAGGAGTTGTGAGATGAAATAAACCCTTCCCTTTCCTGGTTTTTGTTTCTGTTCTTTGGTGATGGTACTTATCATAGCAATAGCAACCTAACTAGGATGCTTGCCTACAGTGATTTCCCATGGTAACTGGGTTTGGGCTTCATTTGATGCAATATCACGTTTTCTGATAGGCCAGATTTCCCCTGTCTCAGGACAACAGAAGGTTGAGTAGCAGTCACTTATTTTAGAAGAACCTAGTTCATTCTTGTTTCCACACTCCTAATTCACCCATTCAGTTTTGCCATATGGTCTCACATCTAGGAAAGCCTCCTTGTGCAAGGGTTTCTTGAGGCCTCCTGGGAATTTTAAGGAGCATAGGCAGGGTTTTCAAAGAAACAAAAATAGTAGGATAGATGAAGACATTGATATGGTTCCTATTCATGCATGTGGATACACATACAAATGCAAGAAGAAGGGTGACTTTTAAGGAATTGGGTTTTGTCATTACGAGAACTGGCAATTCAAAACTCAGTAAGCTTTCAGAACGTGGCAGGAAGCATGTCAGATAAGAGCTGATCTTTGAGTCTTATGTCTGCAGATTCTAGAAACTAAAGCAGATTTCTTGGGTGCTGTCTTGAAGGGATGTCCTTCTACTCTGGTCTTTGAATGATTAGACAAGACCCATGTTGGGTATGCTCTTGGGGAGTTGGGGACTTTCCTTGTTCTTCTTTTTTCTCTTTGCTTCCTGGCTGCCACAGCAGTCTATTCAACTCCATTCTCCAACCACCATGTCCTGAGCTACCACAGGCTAGAAGCAACATGGCCAAGCAACTGTAGACCGAAACCTCACAAACTGTGGGCAGAACAAACCTTTCTTCCTCTCGGGTGATTGAATGTCTGTCGCTGTAACAGAAAGGTAACTTACGCACTTTAAAGATCTTGGGGTTTTAGATAGTTTTTCTGATTGATCATCAGTCCTCCCCACACTATTTCAATGACCCCACTAGTCCTTCTAGTAACTGGAGCCTAGAACCTCCAACCTAGGCCTGTGAGGGCCATCACTCACCTTTGTACCCACCCTGCCTGTCTGGGCTCATACAATGACATGCTGAGGAGCATTTCACCTCCCCAGGGACTAACCTCTGTCTCCCAGATGGAAAAGGAAGGCCCAGACAAATTCCACCTGCAACCTCATTCCTTCCTTCTATTTCCCGGCAAGCAAGTCCAGACCCTAAAAGAAAACAAGCTTTCTTCCTCACTCTTCTTAGAGAACAAATTGGAGCTGCATTCCTGAAAGCAAGTGTTGGCCCATAAGCGAGCTCACCTTGGCCCTGTAGCAGAGCAGAACAGGCAGTGAGGGATATGAAATGTGAATTGCTGGGCTGGTTCTGAACCAGGGCGTGAAGTGACATGGAGCTGCTCTTCAGGAGAGACAAATCCAAGTAATGTGTCAGCAAGTCCTCAGGTGGCTATGCTTTTCTTCCGGCATGTTGGAGGGGACAAGGTAGATGCATCAGGCATGTGCTGGCTATTTGTCTTCTCAACTTGACGTTGTCACATGCAGATTGATGGCGGCCATGTGAGCATAAAAGCAGATGGGCATCCCTAGAAGAAGAGTTGAAAAAATAAAACAAAAACAACTTCAGGCTACAGAAGTGGAGACTATGGGCACGTGGCATGGGGTTTTGGGGTTTTATAGGATGGAAAGGGGGGAACGGTGGGGATGGAAGAAGCCAGCAGATTTTGTGTGTGGATTTCCTTATCGGAAGCTTCTATGGGTGTCGTCAGCCACGTCAACTTTCCTGCCCAGAGCTCTTCAATCCAGCTGAGACCCTCGGGTCTAACCCTTCAGACATAGACTACAGTAACCAGGGAAGAGGAAACTCCAATGATGAAATGCTTCTATCAGATTGGCCTGTGGGCACATGTGTGGGACATTTCCTTACTAAGGATGGATGTGGGGAGTGTGTCCAGGCCACTGTGGGTGATGCCATCCTCAGGCAGGTGGTCCTGGGTGGTATAAGAAAGAAGCTTAAGCAAGCCATGAGGGCAAACCAGCAAGCACCATTCCACCGTGTCCTCTACTTCCGTTCCTGCCCCTCCCCGGCTCCCACCCTGACTTCCCTTGATGATGGACTGTGAGCTGTCAGTGAAATAAACTACTTCCTCCCCCGAGTTTCCTCTTGGCCATGATGTTTATCACAGTAGCAGCAAGGTAGGTAGGACAAAGAGTGGGCTTCCCATATCGTTTTTTTAATATTAATAAGGCATGGGCTGCTCTCCCCTTGTAAGGAGCCATAACCCCTAGGCTAGTCAGAGCTTTTCTGCTCTAAACTATCGTCATAGTCTATTTGTGACCAGAGGTTTACATAATACTTTAATACTTTCTCCCTAGTCACATGTATGTCCATGAGGAGCCACAGGCTGTACAGTAGACATCATAAGAACTAAAGGTCAAGCCAGGCGTTGGTGGTGCATGTCTTTAATCCCAGCACTCGGGAGGCAGGGACCGGCTGATCTCTGTGAATTCGAGGCCAGTATGGTCTACAAAAGGAATGCCAGGAAAGGCTCCAAAACTACACGGAGAAACCCTGTCCCAAAAAACAAAAACAAACAAAACCCAACAACAACAAACCCTAAAGGCCAATTATTTCCTTCATGCGCCTCCACCTCCTGCATGGACCCAGCTCACCCCCAATGCTGTCTCTCTGCCTGGTGTGAACGTGGGCACACTGTGAGGTCCGTCCCAAGGGCTACGCGTGTGAGGTAAATGATACTGGAGATGGAGAATGGGTAAGCTCAGACAGATGCAAAGAGCCTGCTCCTACACATTCCTAGGACAGGAATGACCATAATGGGCAGGCTGATTAGCTTCCCTGAGGTTCTGCCCAGCCCTGAGAGCCCCCCCTTCTGAGAATTCCACTGTTAGCTGGGGAGTCCTGGTTCTGATATTTTCCTTCCCACCTCACCATGCCTCTCAAACCCACAAGCCCAGACATCCTATTATCTACTAAGGGCTGCTCCCAGAGGGTTTTGATTATCCATGAAAACGTCATTTGTTTTCTTCCACCCTGGAAAGCCATTATTACAACCTCCCTCACTTACTTTTCTTGTTGTAACAAAATACCTGATAAATGCAACTTAAGGGTTTATTTTTACTTAGAATTTGAAGTTACAGTCCATGGGCAGCAAGAACATGACAGTTGGTCACCTTGCATTCACATGGAAACAGAGCAAGAGAGAAGGCTGGTGTTTGACTCGCTTTCTCCTTTTGAGAAGTCAGCCCGGACCCTCAGGCCATGGAGTGGCTCTCCCCACTGCAATTAGCCTAATTAAAAAAAACAAACAAATGTGTCCAGAGGTTTGTTTCTATGGTGATTATAAATGTAATCAAGTTGACATTTGAGATTAACCATTGTGGGGCTCCAACTCAACATGTGCCCTTGCAATGACCATGTTTCTTGTTCCTGTGGGTATGGCCACTCAACTTTCAACACCCATACTAAGAACATGGCTTCCAGATACCCCCAAGGACTCCTCTCCACACCCATGGGCACAGCATTCTTTTCCATGGCATCACAGTGCGTGCGTGCGTGCGTGCGTGCGTGCGTGCGTGCGTGTGTGTGTGTGTGTGTGTGTGTGTGTGTGTGTGTGTTCTCAGTAGTGTTCATCAAAGTATGTTTTAGGTCCTTTCCCTTGGAAACAATGAACTTGAATCTTAAACAGGAACTTGAGTATTTTTACACAGGGCATTTTTCAGGGGCTTTATGACATGGTGGAAGCAGTGACTTTGGTGGGAAGGCAGAGAGAAGAAAAGAGTTGTGAAATTCCAGCTCATTTCTTTTCACAACATTCTTTCAGATGGAGAAAAGGGAGGTGTAATACCCTTCCACAGACAAGACACTGAGGCCCACATACTGATGGAATCAACCACAGACCTTCCATGGTTGGGTTTGGGTAACAGCCTAGACTTTCAATTCAGACTTTCTCTCATCCAGGTAAAGAGAACAAACAAAGGAACACGTTAAACCAGACTAGCCAAATAAAATCACATTTCTCAGGAAACTGACTTTTTGCATGCTTGATTGGTGGCCAGGGAAAAGCAAGGGGAGGGAAGAGAAGCTCCCAGCTGGGACTCTGGGTGACATCTCTCTTGCCTATTTGAAAGTGAAGAATTTGAACAATGCTTACCAAAAAAAATGCTAGACATATACAATATACATTCAGTATATTTTTATTCAAATTACATTTGTGTGTTTGTGTGTGTGCGCACCTGGGTGTATGCCACATCACAGGGGGTAGAACACAGAGGACAACTTGCAAGTATAGGTTCTCATCTTCCACTAAATGAGTCCTAGGGCTCCAGTTCAGGTCATCAGATGTAGCAGCAATGTCTTCACCCACCGAGTCACTTCACCAGCCCCAGTGTTCATTTATGGAGATATTTTAGGTATGCATGTTAAGACAGCAATGATCCATGCTTAAATCTAAAGTCATGTGTCCTTTGACTTTAACTTTATTCCTTCCTCATCTGTAAACCTGTAACTTCATGAGAATTTCACAAACAAGATTATGGATGATGTTTACAGTTGGAATGTAACTTGACTTCCTGGTGACTTAGGTGTACATACTACAATAAGGATTCCTTTTGCCCTTTGACCCTCTTGATCTGATTGATCTAGAAGCCTGTAAAATTCACCTCAGCAATTATTATGGCCTTATTTCCCAAAAGGAAATGTCTTGGATAAGAATGAGTATACCAAAACACATTTACTTCATCCCTTGTAACAATGTAGCTTCAGAAGCCACCAAAATTGTATTTATATCTATTGGCCTTAAATGGGTTCTCTTGAGGACCCCTTACCCACACATGAGTAAGTACTGTCCTTTTGCCAAGTACCTTTCTCTCCATTAATGCCCATGCTTGAACATATTATAATCATTTTCTCTATAATGGCATATGTTTATGAAATACTCCCCAAATCAAGTATGCCTCGCTTATACTTATCCTAAATTCATGTCTATAGTGTTTTAAGTCAAGGATCCTAGCTTCATCTGAGTAGAGAGTCTAGAAAGAACTCTTCAGTCTGTTGCTGGTGACAACATGGAGCTGTGTCTTGGGCTTCTGCTACCAGGTCTAGAAGTTCCTGAATGTCCCTTTGTCCTTGAGCCCTTAAAATAATCATGGCATGGGGTCTCCTAAGACACAGTTCCAAATCCCTAACAAATGCAGCCAGTTTGGAGGTAGCCTGAGCTGTGAAATGGTAACCTATCTTTGCTTGGAAGGAAAAATTATCATGCTCGTTGCTCTAGGGCAATTGTTCTCATACTATAGATCTAGACCCCTTGGGAGCCAATAACCTCTTCATAGTGGTCACCTAGCACCATCAGAAAACACTAGCATCCACGATTCATAACAGTAGAAAAATTACAGTTATAAAGTAACAAGGAAAATACTTACATGGTTGGGAGCAGCATAACATGAGGAACTGTGTCAAAGAGTCCCACCTTAGGAAGGCTGAGAAGTACCGCTCTAGGGAAACTGTAAAAATGATCATTATCATTCTAGCAGGGAAGTGGACAGAGCATGGGACACAGTGACAGCCAGGGCTTCCTGTTAGCTTGGCTGGTGGAGGCAGGGCTCATTTTTACTATGTCCAAGTGTTTATTGAACTGACTGTGTAACTATCAAAGGGAGACACATCTGGGGAAGGGGAGGCTTTGAGAAAAGGACGGTGAGGTGCCGGAAGCAGTTTATCCTCTTCTGAACAGAGCCTGAGCTGCCAGACAGCTGCGGAGTGGGAATGGCCCGAAGCCCTTAGGTGGTTTAAGGGCTCCACATCCTGAGAATGGGGTGGAGAAGTTGGTGCCAAGACTTTACTCCTCGAAGCCAGGTCACTCCAGGCCTCATGCCAGGTGAGCTCAAGTCCAGAGGCACAGTGTGAACTGACTGTTACAATGACATCTCTCAGTTCCATGACTGTTACAATGACATCTCTCAGTTCCATGGGACCAGGGCAAGCCAGGGCATTGCAGTAATGGCCAGGGAATTCACTCCAAAGGAAGAGACCCTGATTTCCACAGACTCCAAAGGCCATGGAAAAAACCATCGGGCTGCTTCTCCATCTGCTAAGCAATCACCCTGCCCTGTCTAGCCTCAGGGAAGTCCCTGTTCCTCACATCTAGGGTGAGAATGGTTGTTCTGGACAAGCAGCGAATCTAGTCCAATGCATATATCGCTTGGAAGCTCCAGTGATTGAAATGTCAGCACATCCTGGCTGGCTGGCAGGGACAAGCTGATTGGATTTAATCGGTTCAAAAATGCAAGTGATATAAAAAGTAGCTGTTGAAAGTCAAACCTGCCTGTCATTATCTCATCCATGCTGTTCTCTACTGACAGAAAAACCACACACCCTGTCAGCGCGCAGAGGGTTCCACGATCTTCATCCTGCCTTCCTTTCAGGGAAACAATGATGCAGACGGAAGCCCTTCACAAGTTCTAAGCTGTTTTTCAAACATTGGAGTTGCTGGTGTTGAAAGACATTGTCTGGCCAGAACACTGTGAACTGTGGTTCCAGCAAGAGGAAGAGAAACTGAGTCACATAGGCTACAAAGGGGGGTCTGGTGGCTTGTGGTGGTGGCGCATGCCAGCCTGTTCCATACTCTGCAGGCAAGCTGGATATGAGAAGTCGCACACTACTTCTCCAATACTCTTTGAACTTTGACAAGTTTATCACAGACACGGGGCATTCTGTTTCTTCAGGGTTGGAGGCTGATTCATGTTGCCCTACAATAAAGTACAAAGGCCAAAGCCTGTCTACTCTCCCGGGAAGCAACAAACAGCTCTGAGAGTGGTGTCCTTCCGGCTTGTCAGTAGGGGAAAAATCTATTTATGAATATTCATTCACTGCTCATTTAGGAGTGCTCTGTGAAAAGACCCCTTTTCAGATGATGAGAATAGGCACAAAGGGGTTTGATGAATTCCTTTCTCAGCTGTCTCCTACCCCAGATCACAAGCAACGGTTGTCATAGAGAACTGGTTTACAAAGAAAACGTCTGCAGATGTGTGGGCTTCTCAGTGAAGCTGCCTCCCGTTCTCCTGCAGAAAAGAAAACAGAGGAAAGAAAGGAAGAAAAAAGAAAACAGATTCTTTGAACCACAGATCCCTAAACCAGTGAAATTTCAGCTCCTGACGAGAATAGATAGCATCCATGTTCATACTTCCTAAAAAGGTAGGATTGAGTATGGAGACATCTGCCTGAAGCCTCCCCTGTTCCCTCCTTTTACTGGGCTCCTCCCACTCTGACATTGCAGACCCCTCCCACACACACACACACACACACACTCACACACACACACACCTCTGGTTTATTTTACAGGCTGTTTCATTCTTCTACAATTAATGAACCAACTGCTTATAGGGCCCTTGTAGAACAGGGGAGTTGTTATATACATTGCCAGCTTTGCCATGTCTCTCTGCATTATTGAGTCCCCTTAATAAAGCATTTTGTGGAAGGAACTAGAAGAAACCATCCTGAATGAGGTAACCCAGTCACCAAAAGACAAACATGGGTATGCACTCATTCATACATGGATGGTAGACATAGGGCAAAGGATTACCAGTCTACAACCCACACCTTCAGAGAAGCTAGGAAACAGGGAGGACACTAAGAGAGACATACGTGGTCCCCTGGAGAAGGGGAAAGGGACAAGATCTCCTGAGCTAATTGGGAGCATAGGGGGAGGGGAGAGAGGGTTGGAAGAAAGAGAAGGGGAGAAGAGGAAGAGAGAGGAGAACATGAGGGAGCAGGAAGATTGAGTCAGGGGAAGAATAAAGGACAGCAAAAAAAGAGATACCATAATAGAGGGAGCCATTATAGGTTTAAAGAGAAATTTGGCAGTAGGGAAATGTCCAATCTACAAGGTTGACCCTAACTAACAATTTAAGCGATAGTGGAGAGGCTACTTTAAATGCCCTTCCCTGATAATGAGATTGAGGACTACCTTATATGCCATCCTAGAGCCTTCATCCAGTAGCTGATGGAAGCAGAAGCAGACACCCACAGCTAAACACTGAACTCTGGAATCCAGCTGCAGGGAGGGAAGAGTGATGAGCAAAGGAGTCAAGACCAGGCTGGAGAAACCCACAGAAACAGCTGACCTGAACAAGGGGAGCTCATGGACCCCAGACTGATAGCTGGGAAACCAGCACAGAACAGATCCAACACCCCTGAATGCTGAATATGGGTGTCTGATGAGGCCTAGGCAATCTATGGGGCCTTGGATAGTGGGTCAGTATTTATCCCTAGTACAGGAATGAACTTTGGGAGACCACTTCACATAGAGGGATACTCTCCTAGCCTAGACACATGGGGGAGGGCCTAGGCCCTGCTCCAAATGATATGACAGACTTTGAAGATCCCCATAGAAGGCCTCACCTTCCCTGGGGAGCAGAAAGAGGGTGGGTTAGGGGGCTAGTAAGGGACAGGGGAGGAGGGGAAGGAAGGGGAACTGGGATTGGCACGTAAAACAAGCTTGTTTCCAATTTAAATTTTAAAAATCAGAAAAATAAAGCATTTTGTTGTTATTTTATTTTAAAATTTTGTTTTGGTCTTTTCAGACAGGGCTTCATGTAGCACTGGCTGCTCTGAAACTTTCTATGCAGCTAAGAGTGGCCTTGAACTTCTGATCTTCTTGCCCTACATCCCAAGTGCTAGGATTACAAGTATGTGGCATCATATCCAGCCATTGGTTAGTATTGTGTGTGCATGTCTGTGTGTGTGTGTGTGTGTGTGTCTGTATGTGTGTGTGCATGTGTTCTTGCTATATGTTCTCTTGAGATACATCCTTTCTCATATCATACATGCCGATGCACACTTTCCTTTGAGTACACACTGAGCTAGGAACATGCATTTTGACTTGATGATGATGATGGAGGAGGACAAGATGCAGGCACAAGCACAGCAATTGTATTCACTATAACCCGTCTTAGTTAATTCTTACAACACCATTCCACGGCTCCTTATTATCCCCTCTTTATAGATGAAGAAACTAAGGCTCAAAAAGGCTAATGAGTCTGCTTGACTTTGAAAATGGTAAGTTCTGTAGGAGGTGAGCAGTGAGGAGAGACATGAATGGGCTCTTTCAACCAGGGAAGAGCCACTCTGATGAAAGGTCGAGGGGCGGGGAGTACAGAGGAGGACCTGCCAGAGTTGCCAGGAAGGGCTGTAAAGGCCACACCTTACAGGAAGGAGGCAAGGTCTGACTCACCGAAGAAGAGGAAGTGCCAATAAAGGAGAATCACCAGCCTGGGCAACAAGTGTACCTTCTCATAAAGCACAGGACAAGTGGACCAGCTTTGCATATATATGTGTCCACATGAGTTTACGTGCAACTTGTGCATGCAGTACCCATAGAGGCCAGAAGCAGTGTCAGGTCTCCTGGGGGTGGAGTCACAAAACGTTGTGAGCCACCATGTGGGTGCTGAGAACCAAATCTGTGTCCTTCTATGAGATCATCCAGTGCTCTAATCACAAAGCCCCCAGATCAGCTTTGCACCAAAAAAAAAAAAAAAAAAAAAAAAAAAAAGATCTTAAAGAGAGTCATCCTGCACCAAGTTACACCTTCCACTTGCTAATACAGCTTCAGCCCAACCTCTACTGGATCCTTTTGAAAACCAGGCCTGGCCTTGGATTCTATGGGGGTGGTGGGTGCTCCTGGATATGACAGTCTTGGTGACCGTTTTTTATTTTTCAGTGTGTGTGTGTGTGTTTAAGTATGTTCATGGAGGCCAGAAAAGATTGTCAGATCCCCTTCAGCAGGAGTTATAGGTAGGTGGTATGGGTGTTGGCAACCTCAGGTCTCCTGCAAGAGCAGCATGCTTTCTTGACCACTGAGATATCTACTCTTGGTGTTAGAACAAAAGACCTTAGCTTGAGTTCTAAGGGATCAACTTAGCATCTGTTCATCTCTCAGTCAGGTAGCGCGATACAGAGAAAGAATAATCTGATTGTTCATGCCCAAGTTACTAACCTCCAAAACAGGGAAGGGGTGGGATCAGTCCACTCATCGTGTGTGTGTGTGTGTGTGTGTGTGTGTGTGTGTGTGTGTGTGTGTGTGTGTGTTGGGGTAATCCCTGCAAAGAATAGTGGAGATGTAATCAACATAAGAAATTGCATAGAAGCTGGGTGGTGATGGCACACACCTTTAATTCCAGCACTTGGGAGGCAGAGGCAGGTGGACCTCTGAGTTCAAAGGCCATCCTGGTCTACAGAATGAGTCCCAGGACAGCCAAAGTTATACAGAGAAACCCTGTCTCAAAAAGAAGAGGAGAGCCAGGCATTAGTGGTGCACATCTTTAATCCCAGCACTCGGGAGGCAGAGGCAGGTGGATCTCTGTAAGTTTGAGGCCAGCCTGGTCTACAGAGTGAGTTCCAGAACAGCCTCCAAAGCAATACAGAGAAACTCTGTCTCAAAAGAAAAAAAAAAAAGAAGAGGAGGAGGAGGAGGGAAGAAAGGAAGTGAGGGAGAGATGATAGACAGGCATGAGAGGTACCCACAAAGCAAGACTACACAGGCTATGGTAAGGAGTTGAAATTCCATGCTCAGAACCCGAGAAGCCACCCAAGGATTTTAAGCATAGGGGTGACCTGATGGCATGTCAACAACATTCTGACTCCAGGCTAGTGATAGGATTAGAGGAGGGACCTGCGTATGCAAAGATTTGATTCAGGGCTGTGATGGAAGACAGAGTTTGAAGTCTTGAACCAGTGTAGCAGTAACAGGAGCTAATGAAACTTGGACAGATCTGAGATTACTTTTGTGGAAGGGTGATGTCCCCATTGATGCATTAGAGTCACCAGTATGGTTTGGTCACCATGCCATACACCTTGGTATGAACCAAGTTGCTATCTACCAAGAGAGAAAAATGACAGGGGAAGTGGGAGACCAGGACAAATGAGGAGGCAGAATACCAAGAAAGACACAGAATAAAAGTCTTCTCTAGAGTTCTGAGTCCAGGAATCATCGCATACAGACATGAGATGATCTGCGATCACTTAGGGGATCATGTGGACCGAGCAAAGAAGGGACACTAGCATGGTTCCCCAACAAGATCTATTCAGCCTCTAAGCAAATGTGCCTACATCCATTTCCATACCATGCTGTCTACCACCCCTGAATACTCATTTAATGATCA